TATATATATATATATATATATATATATATATAGACGATATATATATATATATATATATATATATATATATATGCGTGTGTATATGTACGTGTTTGTATGCATATATATAGTGATGCAAATTGTTATATATCGATTAATATTTACATATACATTATATCTAGAATATATGAATAAGGTTTACTTCAAGTTTATTAGCTATGTCGCTGTATGCGCATGCCGAGTTTCACATTTATGCCGCGTTGCGTATACGCAGTCAGTTTCACACTGTACACGAATGCACGAGTCTGATAACGGCCTCTTTCTCGAAATTCTTCTAGACAGAACCTGTACTTGTTAATCATATACTTGAAGATGCATCATCTTACGTCAGGGAGTACGTCGATAATTCATTGGTATTTGGATCTATTTAATTGATATGCTCGTCGTAAACGGCGTGTGCGATCTATCTATGTATTAGTCATTCTTGAAAATGCTGAAATTCTGTCGAATGCTCGTGCTACTGAATGGAAACAACTTCACAAAATGAACATACGTGCTGCCTCGCTCCGGTATTGTAGCATAAGTTGTTTTCATTCAGATTAGCTCGAGTTTTACAGCCCTCTAGGCCTATCTCTGTGTATTTCTTCAATTTAGTGAGATATTGCAGCTCGTACTGCAGATAGTCGTCCGATGATCCAAAGCCAGTGTAGCTTTTAGACGGAAACATTAGGCTTAAAAAACGCTGTTGAAGAGTAGTTCCTGTGCTCCAAGAGGAGTATATTATGTAGGGCATGGCTTTAAGTTTCAACTTCCAGCAAGGGGCATGCATGATGCTTGCACCTTGCTTTTGCCATACCATACTGTACCCTCCGCAAGACTTTCTGCGCGATTTACATGCGTGTGCAAAGGCATCCGCGTATTCATCTACCGTTGAATTCTCGCTTCCTTTTTCCCAGAGGCCCACGGCCACGAGTCCACGACCCACGCGCCAGGCACCACTGCCACATGTGATATATTTCCCAGTACATATGCCCCCACTCCCCAGTGGGCTACTGGCCGGTATAATGTAAATACTAAAAGTGCTCACGCTGTCATTGTGAGACATTGTCCCAGAGACTCATGTCAGAGTTGACTGTTACTGATGACTGCTGCTTGAAGATTTCTGTTTTCAGAGAGGCGGTCGCCAAGCGAGATACATACGCTATCTGATTGGATCTCGAAAAAGCACAAAAGCAAAAAGCAAATATGAATGATGTACAGAGTAGATCTCTGAATCCTAAAAATAGAATAAAACTGAAGGTCCGAAATTCAGAATCGATTGAGCAATATATGACCACACCATCAACACATACGTCATAGTTGTGATATATTTCGTTACATATATTTTTTTATGTATATATTTGAAAAAATTACTTCTACTGATCATGGCGGTATAGCCTTCTACTCTCTCTGTCTCTCTCTCTCGCGAAAGGCTATGTTCTGATCATACACAATTCGGGTAAAAACAATTGGGACATCCCATATATACACAATACACTGCCTGTAACAGTACAGCAGACATCAGAGTTGCACAATGGGGAACTCTATTACAACGGATGTTGGTTCCGGATACAAGTTAGTGCTCTGCTGCAACGAAAAACGTGCACTCGAAGTGCAGTCTCAGTTTGATGTTGACGACAAGTTAGGACTTCAACTTGTTATGCATTGTATTAGCTTATTCTTGTACAATCGAATTTATTCAATATAGTTACTTGTATTGCTTCAAAGGCCTAGATGCAGGAATGGATATATATATATATATACCTCTATATTTATATATGTATGTATATGTCTGTTTGTCTGTGTGTATGCGTGTGTATGGGGGTATAAATATATATATATATATATGTGTGTGTGTGTGTGTGT